GTTCCAATTACTCTTATACATATTGTTGTTATATATGACCTGTTACACATTTGTACTTACACAAACCATCCTGAGGGCTGTTACATGCGTGTAGTTACAGAAATATTACAGCTGTAGATACTATGTACCAATGTGTACTTACACAGTGGTTACATACTACGTACATATTTAGTTACTATGTAAGTACACAGGTATTAGGGACACAATATAAAGTGGGACCAAATTAATTACTTGTACTTTTACTTGACTACATTTCTGAAAAAAACACTACTTTTTACTTCTTACAATTTAATTTTTATTTTATCAGACGACAACAGAAGCTAAAACATGCATGCTTGATGTGTGAGAACCAACAAGGTTTCTTTTCACGCATCACGTATACACATTTCAGCTTCAGTTGGAACTTTCATCAGGTAAATTTCTGGCTTCAAAAATTTGCCATCAAATCTGAGGAAGCATACTGAGGTAGCAAAGTTGCTTCCCCCCCAAAATAAGTTTAATTGTAATGGTATATTGAGTAACAATTAGGACTGTCAATGAATTATTTTTTAATCTAAGTAATTAAATGGTTTGTTCATCAATTAATCTAATTAAGCATTGAACAGACAACACAAAAAGTAGCCTTTCAAGAAGTTCATGTTGTATGTTTGAATTCTATGACTCTCCTCATCAATTCAATGCACGTTCTTATATTCTGGAATGTGTTTCTGGCCTCTGCATCACATTTGGCTCATCAGGGATAATCCATGCAAAAATGGAAAAAAGAAATTCTCTCATCATGTACTCACCCTCATGCCATCCCAGATATATATGACTTTCTTTCTTCAGATGAACACAAACATAGATTTTTAGTCCATATAATGCAAGTGTACAGGACCACATCAAAAGCCACACAAAGTGAACACGGCGTCATGTTTAAAATATTAGTATTTGTATTTTACTTACACACACCTATCGTTTCACTTAAGACAACATTGATTTATCAACAGGGGTTGTATAAGTTACTGTCATCTTCACTTTGTGTAGTTTTAAAAACATCATCTTTGGTCCTCCTTTACACTTGCATTATATGCAGAGAGATGGATTTTTTTTTCTGTTAATCTGAAGAAAGTAAGTCATATACATATGGGATGGCATGAGGGTGTAAAGGATGGAGTATCCCTTTAATGGCTGTATTTTTAGTGTTCAACTGGGCTGCATTTTAATTGTTGTTGTATGCATTAGATATAGTGGGTATAAAAAAAGAATCACCCCCCCTTTAAAATAATCACATTTTGTTGCTTTGCAGCCTGAAATGAAGACAGACAGTTTTTGTTTTATCCAGCTGTATTTACTCAGTGCAACCTATAACATGCAAGTGAAAGATAACACCAACATGTCAGAAAAATAAACAATAATCCTTCTATCCTGACAAGTGCTCCAGTACCTGCTGCAGAGAAACACTCCCATAACTGGATATTACCATCTGCATGCTTTTCTGTAGGAATGTTGTTATTTGGATGGTGAGCTATACTGGATTTCCACCAGACGTATCGTTTGGTGTTGAGGCCAAATAATTTAATTTTAGTCTCATCTGACTTCAGAATCTTCAAGGGTTTTGGCAAAGCTCAGTCATGACTGCATGTGGCCTTTCTTGAGGAGTGGCTTTTTTCTTGCAACCCTCCCATACAAGCCACATGTGTGGAGAATTTTATATTGTTGTCACATGCACACAATGACCACTCTTTGTCATAAATTCCTGCAAGTGATTCAGAGTTGCTGTAGGCCTTTTGGTCACCGCTCTGACCAGTTTCTTCCTAGCTCTTTCATCCAGTTTGGAGCGACGTGCTGATCCAGGGAGGGTATGTGTTATACCAAATACATTCCACTTCTTAATAATAGACTTCACTGTGCTTCTAGGCATTTATAAATTCTTTTACATTTTTTTTTGTATCCATCTCCTGACTTGTGCCTGTCCACAACTTTATTCCGGAGATCTTTTGACAGTGCCTTACCACCCATTATTGATTGTTTGCTTCAGTTGCACTACCAAGGACTGAAATGCTCCAGGAAAGCTCTT